ATTTAGTTAGATTAAGTAATGAGACAGAGAGACAAGGGGAATAATATGATCGCTATCACAAATATTCAATGAGATGGGAAGACGTTCATGACTTTCACCGGTAGTGAAGGGAAGAGCAGGTTACAAAACACCATCTATGATTCAATCACACTTTTGTAAAGCACATTACATACATATATATATATATATATATATATATATATATATATATATATATAAACAATAGCAGAGGAGACTAGAGTATCACACATCAAAATGTCACAAGTGGTGGGATTCCAAGGTTTCCATCTTCTTCTTCTTGACATCCAAATGCTCTAAATTTTCTATAATAAGGATATACACTTTTATAATAAATCTTTTTTTCTCTATAATTCCCACAGTTACATGTATGTGTTACCTTTCCAAAACTTAGAATCTAGGGATTTAGGTCCCGACTGGGCCACCACTTACAGAATTGTATCTTCCTAGAAAGTGACTAAATGTCACTTGTCCTCACCTGTCTTCTCCCCTTGTATCTAAAGACAGACATTTCTGATTTCTCTGTTTGAAGTCCCTCTCACAAAAGCCATGAAATTTATACCCACACAGATTTAATCCTCAGTGATTTCACTAGGTCAGCTGGCCAAGGCTTTGGAGAACTACAAGAACCAACAAGCAAAAAGTGAATGTGTTCCTTTTGGAAACAAGCACATACGCACACACACACACACGCGCACACACACACACAACATACAACATGTATAGAAACATTATCTTGTTTGAAATAATATTTCCTTATTTAAAAATCAATGTATGTTGAGACTAGCTCACAGTTTCCTCTGGCTTTCCTTATCTAGGTTTAGTATCAGATTTATTCTAGTATGACAATGGATGAAGAAGCTTCCATTTCTCATATGGCCTGGAACAGCTAACATAGTACAGCCCTTTCTATTTCAGAAATGTTTGGTAGAACAGATTCATAAAACTGAATGGGCTTGGTTGTTGGTTAACTTCGTTTTTTTGCTATGTTTACTGATCTATTTTGGTTTGCTGCCTATTTTGTATCAATCATTGTAAAAATTCTTTTTCTTCAGAAACACCATTCCACCTAGATTTTTCCGTCTAATTGGTACTGCTTTGTATAACTTTTTCTTAAAATTTTAAAAATCATCTGCTCTTCTGTCCCCATCTCACTCCAAATGCCCTTAGTAATTTTCTTTTTCTCTTGATAACAATATGATAAATGTTTGTCTCTTAGAGTGTCAAAGGTGTAACATTTGATTTTATTGATGTATTTTACTACATTCTCTTTTCTATTTCATCTGTATCTCTTTCCCCTTAATAATTTCTGCTTCCTTTGTGTTTGGTTTTAGTTTTGTCTTTATTTTACTTTCCCCTTTCTGCATTAAATACTCATTTGTCTTCAATCACATTTTCAAATAAATGTGTGATATGACACAAGAATATTCATATGGCTGAAATCAGAAATGTCTGTCTTTAGATACAAGGGGAGAAGACAGGTGAGGACAAGGGCTATATGCATAAAACCTTTACTGTCATTTGTAACTAGCTTGCTATTTTTCATTTGAAATATTTTCT